CCCCCTTCCTTCCGCTTAGCGTACAGCCTCAGGGTGCTGGACTTGGGGTGAAACCCTCCATGCATGGTAAGGAGCTTTCTTGTCTTTATGTCAGTGGCTTCTATCTCCTCCTTTGGCCAGCCTATTACCCCATTATGGGAGTGAGACAAAACATTTTGTTAAGCATGAAATTCTCACTCCCATTTCTTCTTGTTGCATGTTGAAGCTTCACTTGGAATCTTGTTGAGATCCAATCATGTAATATATGATTTTTTTTTCTATTTTTCAAGTAGTTCTAAACTTTTGATTGGGACTGTATAATTTTTTTCTATCAAGCCCAGGTCCTCTACCAGAACCCTGGGAACTTGAGGGTACAATGCACAATATCTTTTGCTGCAAGCTTCTACAGTTCCTTTGGTATAGCTACATCTATCACTGCGGCTGTCTTCCTCTGCTTGTCCACCACTACTATGTCTGGTTGACCAATTTTTCCGTATGTATCTGAAAGTCCCACAGGACCTTAGCAGGGTCATTCTCAACCACCCACTTATAGGGGGTGTATCCCGTTTTGATCTAGGGACTTCCAAACTATACTGGGATGTTACTGGGTATACTATGCCAGCCTCCTGGTTATGGTGTTCAATGTATGCCCTGCCTGCTAACATCTTGAACCCTGCAGTTATGTGCTGGATTGTCTCAGGGGCACAGCCTGGTGTGGTAGAGCCCAGTCTTTATGGATTTTGTGCTTAGAGCTCATTGATATGGTGCCATGATTAGTGCCTGTGCTGTGTCATTTTAATAAAAACAAGAAAGTTTAAGCAATGCAATACCAGGAGAGAAACTTTAAATCAGCTAATCACCAAAAAAGTGAAAAGGCCCTTTAAAGAAGGTGCTAGTGTAACTGGTGCTGATGTTAATAACAGTATAATCATACAGAAAAGACATACTAGGGGCTCCTATGCAGCTTTGTTTCTTGGTCCCCAATTACAAGATGTTTTACTTCTCTCTGGAACGTGTTATTTTATTTTTTTTTAGCTAATAATGGTTTCTTTCTTTGACATCTATTTACTTGAATCTTTTAAATCCTGCATTGTTTGAGCCTTAAAATGAAAACTTGGTTAAGCTGTAGGATCACTGACATGGAAAAATACAATGAAAAATACAAATACAAAAAAGTTTTTTTTATTTTTTATGTTTTTTATTTTGTGTTGTACTTTTTATGATTCATATTGTAACAGTTGCTATTGTAATGCAGTGTATCACCACATGGCGGCGCCTCCTGTCTCATGACTGGTGTGTCACCCCCTTTTTGTTCTTCTTCGCACTCCTCCTGTAATGGATGCTCCCGTGTGTACGTGGACTAGTGTGCTCTTTAGTAATGTGTGGTAGAGGTAGCACTTTTATTTTTGATATTGTAAATAAATGAGTACTTTTTGGAAAGTCAGAAGCTGTTGCTCATTCGCTATCTACCTGCACACCTCCGCGGCTGGCTTCATCTCCACCGCACGTTACAATATCAGCAATTAAAACATGCCTATTATGAATTCTGATAAACTATATTGGATGACTTCTATCAGAGTTGTAACTTAAATAAAAGTAACTGCATTTCTTTTTTATATTCTCCCTTCCTTTTTTTAGTTTCTTTTCAATATGAGCAGAACCTCAGGGATGTTCTTCATTTCTGCAGGAAATGTAGGCTCTGCAGTTCTGTAGGAAATAAACTTCAGCTTCTCTCTGATGTGTTAAACCTGCAGTGCTCTGATAGTGTCAGCTCTCGGACAGGGTTGCATTTACAGTACAGTGTTTAATTTGTAGACTGTCACTGAGCAAGTCAGGCTGAGTGACATTTGTGTTGCTTTTAGGCCCCCAGCTGTCTATCTTCCTCCCTCTTCCTTTCCCTCTGTGAATCCTGATGAGGTGTCCAGTGGTGCTCTGTTCAACACACTGAAATTGAAATCAATCAACTCTTCAATCTTTCTCTAAAGGACCATTATCCAGCCCCGGCAGGCCTGTTGGCCTGCCTACAGCAGGATCTATGACTTGATCCGCTTCTCTTTTTCACAACGTAAAGCTCACTAATTTGAATCTGACAGGAGTTGGAAGTTTGTTTAAATCTTAACAAATCAGCTGTTAGATGTTTGAAAATGAATGTGGACAATATTTAAGAGTCTGAGTAAAATCACTACTTTATTCCTCCATATATTTTAAGTTCATAGTTTGGTTTGTATGATTTCAGGTGACTTCAATAAAAATAAATAAATAAATAAACAAAAACACACATCCAAACTATTTCTCTGGCCTGAATACCCAATCTTCTGTTTTTACAATCAGTTCTATAAATTCTTGAGCAGTAAAATAAATTGCCAGTACCGCTTTTACCTGATTTTTCATAGATATTGTGGTGTCTCTTCTTTGCTTGTAAATTTATTTTATAAAAGATCAGTTGGTTCTTTGGCTATGATAAAATGAAGAAGTCCTTCAATTAAGAAAAACTTTTCTGGTCATTATTCAAAGTCATAAGAAGAAGAGAAGGGGAAATGGATGTGAGCTGTTTTTTTTCCTCATTGAGAGTCATATACATTTATGTTTAAATATACATATATATGTTTTCTCCACTACTCTTTTGATAACTTCGATAGGTTAATGTTTGAATATTTTTGTGAGCTACAGTATTTCTGTTTTTGAGATTGTCTGTCAATTTGGATCTTCTATTCCTGAAATCTTCTCTTAGCCTTTTGCGCTGAAAGTTTTTCCATATATATTGATTATTATTCTTTATTTGTTGTACAGCCAAGTTTTTTTTTACATGCGAATGAATGGAAAATTAAGAACATGTTGCAACTATTTTTCTATAAGATCTTTTATAGTTTCAGCTGGGAGAAGCACATTAGAAAAATGGTTAAGAAAATGTACAAACAAACAACACTGATACATATCATTTGCTCAAGATGCTTAAGCATGACATATTATGGTTAAAAGTTTTCTATATCATCCCAAAATTATAGGACATGTTATTGTCTGTTTTATTAGTTTGCTTTTTGCAGTGTAATTTTGAGTTTTTCATGACTGATGTAATGGAAAGTTGCAATAAACTAAAACTGGCTTATATATCAGCCTTGCTGTAGCTCAAATGTTGTTGCAGTGCTGTTGATCCCAGTTTGACTAGAAACATCTTTGCAAAAGTATCAATCAGCAGATCAATAAGTTAGTAAGTTAAATCAGTGGTAGTTACTCAGAATAAGACTGATTTACAGTGTGATCTAACATAGCCTGCATTATTTGTACTTCTATGGGTCTTGTGGTTTTAACCTTGCTGTTTCTCCACAGATTCCTCAGATCAGCTATGCGTCGACAGCTCCAGAGCTCAGTGACAACACACGCTATGACTTCTTCTCCCGTGTGGTTCCTCCCGACTCCTATCAGGCTCAGGCCATGCTAGACATTGTGACAGCGATGGGCTGGAACTATGTGTCCACCCTTGCCTCAGAGGGAAACTACGGCGAGAGCGGCGTTGATGCTTTTGTCCAGATCTCCAGAGAGTTGGGTAGGAAACTGTAAACAGATATACAGTTAATTCAAGTCAAAGTGAGATTTAAAAGTTTTTTATACTTTGGTACTCGAGAGAGATTAATTAAATATCGAACTTTTAAAACTAATTGAGTGAAATGGGACCAAAAGCTATTGATCTGATAAATTTGCTGCACTCTGTTGATGAATGAACAGAAGATGTCTTCTAACTGATTATTGAACTTATTATGCCAGAAGTTGACACATTTCTCCTTGACTGGTCACTGTGAGGTAATCAGGTTTGGCGCTTACTGATTAAAATGTTATCACATTGAGTTAAGCCCTTACATTAATTAATATAAACTTTTGAAATTAATCAGTGACCACATGTTTGATAGAGATTAGCATTTTGTTTGTATGTAGTTGTTCAATTCTGTTCTGTTTTGTTACATAAATTAATCAGAGGCTGGGACTGGCTCTATCACACTTTGAATGATGACGGCTTATGATATGATTTAAACAGATGAGCTTGCAATGCTGGGCAGCCAGCTCTAGGAGGAGTCTTGATGTTTCCAAACTTCTTCCATTTATGGATAATAAATGATGAGGCCACTATGCTCATTGGAAAATGATGAAATTTTTCGGTATTCTTTCCCAGATCTGTACCTTGATAAAATCCTGTCTCAAAAATATAGAGACCTCATGGCTTGGTTTCTGCTCTGACATTCAAACTGTATCTGTATTTACTGAAGAACATAATTTACCACAGGTAGATTCTGATCAAGTTCTAGAAACATATGACAGATGATTATTTGAAATAGGATGCACTTTCATCTTCCTAGACACCTCTTCCTGCTTGTCTGGGGAAACACAGAGGTGTTCCTAGGCCAGCAGAGAGATATAATCTCTCCAGCAAGTCCTGGGTCTACAAGGGGGCCTCCTTCTGGTGGGACATTGCTATAACATCTCACCCAGTAGGCACCCAGGAGGTATCCTTTCAGATGCCCCAACCACCTCAACCTGCTCCTTTCAATGTGGGGGAGTTGCTGCTTTGCTTTGAACCCCTCCGGATGGATAAGCTTCTCACCCTGTCTCTATGGGTGAGGCCATCCACCCTTTTCTGAAGAGTGGATGGCCCTTGCCACTTTGTATCCACAGTCTGATTCTATTAGTAACTACCCAGAGCTTGTGATCATAGGGGAGAGCAGAGAGATAAATCAACCAGTAAACTGAGAGCTTTGCTTTCATGCTCTTTTTATCACAACGGAATAATGCAACATCCACTTCTCTGCAGCCATGACCTGAATCCATCTGTCGATGTCCCACTCTCTTCTCCACTTACTCATGAACAAAACCCTGAGTAACTTAAACTCCTCCACTGTTGGCAGCAACTCATCCTTGACTTGGATTAGGCACTCAACCCCTTCATGGTTGAGGACTCAGACTTGGAGGTTCTGATTCTCATTTCCACCGCTTCACATTCAGCTGTGCACCACTCAAATCTGAGCTGGAGGATACCATCTGATGAAGCATATAGAACCATATCATCTTCAAAAAGCGGAAAGATTCTGAGGCCACCAAAGTGGAAGCCTGCCACCACATGGCTACGCCAAGAAATTCTGTGCATAAAAAGCATTAACAGAATCAGTGCCGGTGTTCAGCATGTACTGGGAACAACTTAATGTTTCTGACTTATTGCCGGCAATGCAGAAGGAGCTCCCACAATGTTTATATAGGAACTGAACGGCTAATAGCAATGGACTAGACACCCCATACTCCCGAAACACCTCCCACAGAATACCCCACCCATACTATACATGTGTTCATATATACACACCATAGTGTATTGTTCTTCTTTGTTCTATTTGTATCTTATTTTGAGAAGGAAGGGGATTCATAGTTTATGTAGAATTTGGACCCAAAATACAGACTCCAAGACAGGTTTGAAAAATTCACCTTTATTCAGGTCAGGCAGCAGATCCTGGTGGCTGAAGCAAACAGGATTCAAAAGTAATCTGAAGTAGGTAAAACGTGGGGAAATCACACAGGCAGACAAACAGTACAACATGACAAAGAACTAAGGAAAACTAAGGGTTAAATATACTCACAAGGTAATCAGGGAAAGAGACACAGCTGGGGAAAACAAGGCGTAGGTGAATAGAATCAATTAACAAGCAAGAGGGGAAGCAAAACTGAACATACTGCACATGAGATGAGAGGCCATTAAAATAACACAGGAAGCATAAACACTGAGATGGAGACTAAACACATAAACTTGACAGACCAAAGTAAACAAAGACAAAAGTGACTATGAACATGGAAGACCTAACAGAAACAACGATTGGGCATGGGAAATATTGACATTTTCTGTTTGACAGAAACAGAGAGTCCAAAACTGAAAACACTGGGTGCAAAACCTGGATTCGTGACAAAGGGCACTCTATTTATTATATGTCCAAAATGTCATGAACATACTTTGCTGATATTTATGATATGATATTCAAGCAAGTGCTGAATTAGTTCAGATTATAAGAGAAAAGACTATTTCTCTGTGCATGACTTACAGTAAAAAGAAGAACTATGACTAGAAAAAGTTAATTTAAATGCAATTACATTTTTCATTTTCCAGCTGTCATGTATTCTGCTTCATCACCTTGTTGCTTTATTGCTGACACATTTACCTGGCTTTGCAACACTGCTGTAATCTCTGCGCAAATGACGGCAGCAGTACTAATGATGAAAAATGGCTGCGATGGAGGCTTTTAAAAGCATCTGATTAATAACTGTGCAGAGAGCAGCTGTGGCTCCTGTGTGGGCTCAGTGAGGTGTCATCTATGCTGCTGTTGTCACTGTGCAAACACACGATGCTGCACATGGAAATGGCTTCATTAACAGAGTGAATATGTATTTACAATACTGTGCAAAAGTCTCTTGTTTCCCCTGATTTCTTTATTTTTTTGCTTGGAAAAAGGAAAATGGATGGAGCTATTTATTGAAATGTGCAGACGTGAGTAGAAATACAGTATATAGGTAAAGAACAGTTTGTAACAAGCCTGAATCTCAGTAACGGGTATGACCACCTTTATGTTTTAAGTTCAACCTGAAATTTCAAGAAAGCTTGCTCGTAATTTCTTTGACCAGTCTTAGTTCTAGAATAGTTCTCCAGGCTTTCTCAACATGCAGTTCTTTGCAGGTTTGCAACATCGTATTGCTTAATTATTATAATAGGGATGGTATTATGTACTGGCAAGTACAGTGGTAAAACAATTCTTGTCATGAGGTTTGCACACATCTCAGGAGTAGATTGAACCCACTCCTCTTAGCAGAAACTCTCTAAATCCTTTAAGTGTTTTGGCGGAAGCTTCACTTCCTTCAACAGACTTTCAATAAGGCTGAGGTCTGGAGACTTGGTAGGACACTCCATGACCTTAATGTGGTTCCACTCCTTTGTTGGCATGGTTGTCTGTTTTGGGTTGTTGTCATGCTGGAGGACCCACACAAAGCTGTCTTTAGTGTTCTGGTTGAAGGAGGGAGGTTCTGTTCCAAATTGTTACAGTACTTGGTCACATCCCTTGGCCTGTCAATGTGGTGAAGTTGTTCTGTACCTTTAGCAGAGAAACTTTAGCTGTTTCTCTGCTAAACATTTTCAACTCTGTCCTTGACTGTGTGTGTTCTTTGGGTAACACTAAGCATTTCTCTTCCTCCAATCATGGGGGATCAAGTTGGTGGTGGTCAAAGAGCACAATTTTGATTTTATCTTAATTTTGAACACAGGAGTTTCTCCCAAGCTTTCTCTAAATTATTTAAGGGTTCACTCACAAACCTAAGATTGGTCTGTACGTGTGTTTTCATGAGAAAGGAGATGGGCAGTTAAATCCATTCAGTGTATTGTGTTAATAATGGTGTTCTTGGTGACTGTGGTCTTGTTATTGAGATAACAAGACCACTTGTTATCTCACTTGTTATCCCACTTGTTATTATACTCATTTTACTCAATAACTTGCAAATCAATTTATAACTTTTATGAAAATGTTTGGTTTTTGGATTTTTAATTGAAAATTTTTTTCTCTGTCCATTAAAATTAAACTACCATAAAAATGTTCATTTCTCTAATGAAGGCTCTTATCCTGTTGATCTTGTATAGTTATAGGTTTTCCAAGATCCATGTGTGAGGCATTATTTCATAGCCTTTCTGGTAGTCAATCCAAGTAATGCTAACTTGGATCAGTCTGGTCCTACAGTGTTGACTGACTCCTCTATCTACCAGTAGCTGGTGTTTTGCCCCCCTGGTTTCTATGCCAATTCCTTTCTTGGCCCTGCTCATGTATTGAGCGATGTGACTTTTCACCTTAGCCCCTATGAAAGAGAAGAGGAAAGAAGTGTCTGTCGAAAGGAAAAAGAGAAAAGACAATGAAGGTGGTAAAAGTGGAAAGAGGTTTATCTCTGGGGTAACTCCCTGCACCCTGTAATGTGGTTTTCTCTGTGATTTGATGATCCAACTTCTGAGATATTGCCAGATGTTACTAATGTGGGTAACTTGAGGGCCATAGAGACCTGCTCAACTACAACATAACACAGGATTGCTGCCACGACCACCTTATGTAGTTTGTCTCCATGACAACAACTGCAGCTCTGACTGTAGCGTGGTGAGCAGTTCAGGGTCAGATTGATGAAACCCCCATCTCCCCCTTGAGTTGATCCCTTTACCAAACACTCATCAAGTGAGGATATTTTAATAATTGTTATTTAACAAAAGCAGAAACTGAAAAATCATCTGGCTTTAGGCTATCTCAGTGTCTTTTGTCTTTTCTACAGTACCCATAAAAGATTAATCTAGCCACAATGAACTATTTTCAAGCCTTGATTATTTAATTTTTTTTCTAAGCAGAAAACTCGCAAATTCTTTATTGAAAGAGAAAATCTGCACAGCCTTTGGAAAAACATGCAACCTGCAAACAGAAGGGTCTTGCCACAATTAAAAACTTGGACCTTCTTGCTATGACACAACAGTAGTGACTATATTTAGATCAGAGTGCT